TTAATCATTAACAGACCACTGTCCCAGATGTTTATAGTCCTGAGACCAGTTTCCACTTGCACAACGCTATCTTAGCACTGAGGTGATCTTAACTCCCATACTTTAACATAGGCTTGTGCAAGTGGATCCTGGTCTGGTGAAATCCCTTTGTGTCCAGTAAGGTCACCTCATCCTAGTCTATATGCTAAGAGTAAATTCTAATGAAAAACATTATGCAAAATTCAAGATAAGTCTGATAGACGTGCAAGGTTTTAGCACAGACTGAGCATGGCAGTGAGTGAGAGTGAGTGAGTGAGTGAGTTTAGTTTTACTCAGCACTATTCCCTCTATATGGCAGCGGTCTGTAAATAATCGAGTCTGGACCAAACAATCCAATGATCAACAGCATGAGCATCAATCTACACAATTGGGATACTGACACTGACACGAGTCAACCCAGTCAGCGAGCCTGACCACCAGATCCTGTTAGTCGCCTCATACAACAAGCATGGGTTATTGAAGATCAGTTCTAACCTGGTACACGTGGAATAACAACACCATCAAGTAAACTCTAAAACAATGGCGGCCATCTTAAATCCCCTGAACAGATTAGGGAAGAAGCAGCCCTACAGGGGATACGACAGGGGACAAAGAACAAGGGGCGTCACATTGCAGGGGGAGGAGATTGGCACAAGAGGATGTTGTAAGCTTAGTCGTTAAACACTGGCATTGATCCTTGTAGATGGTGGGAAATTGCCGGAAATAGCGCAGTGTGCAGGTAATTGTTGACACTGACATTGGGTGATTAGCAAGCAGTTAGTGGGAGTAACCTGTAGTTATCTGTGGCGATCGGTGAGCACAAGTGTCATGTTTACAGTTGACCTGGGTAATAGGCTGACAGAGGCTGCCTGTATTGGACACAGACAAGAGGGTTTTAAAGAGCACTTTAGTCTCATATAGTAAGGTAAACATCTTGGGTTTGTTCAGCTCATGTACAAGCCAGCACACCCATGACTTTTCAGCCTTTCAGCGACTGTGATCAGTGGTCGTTACTCATTATTCTGTGGACAAGACGCATTCATTTTACAAGCCGTTTTTATACATATCATTCTATGTGTAAGTACATTCTTTCAATAAGCACACTATACAAAACTCTAAAACCCTTATAATACTGCCTATCCTTGGCGCCAGTCCTGTATATAAACAAGTCACCTACTGCGTCTGGATGGACATGTTTCATTGGATGTTGTGTCCAGAATGACAAAAAAGTGACAACAAAATGAAGAAATTAACATTTGTACAATTTGTTGATTCGTTGTTAATGCTGCACTTAGACGAGCGATCGGTATTATGAACATTAATGCCTTGGAGGTGCAAGGTCACGACATACACAAAATCACTGCACCTGATCCCAATCCATTAAGTGAGTGAGAGAGCATGCATGGTATAACCCCACTTTTAGCAATATTCCAGCAATATCACGGCAGTGGACACCAGAAATGGGCTTCTCACATTGTACCCATGTAGGGAATAGAACCCGGGTCTTCAGTGTGACGAGCGGACGCTTTAACCATTAGGCTACCCCACTGCCCCATATCCATTAATCCATCTCATGACAACAGACTGCTGGGGACCAATTGTAACATGAGTTCTCATGGAGGTTACTTCATATAATAAATAAGTAATCATAAGAGTAACCAAGTCCAAACAATGAGAAATAGGCAGACTTTCATGAGCGCCAACCTTTGGAATCACATTTTACGCACCTACAGTCAAACATCTCCTTGATAACACTGAATTACCTGGAGATAAATCAGCATCTAGTCCCTACCTATGTCTACACTGTACCATTGTAAATCATTAGATATCTTTCCTATCTCAGTAATAAATCAACAAAATGTTGCAGCCTGTGCAGGTAATTGAACAACATAATCATATTATCCGTATCTTTCTAAGAACACATGCATAAAGCAGTACTATATATGCAAAGCTGTATATCTGTCATCGATGTGATAAGAATGAAAGTTTACTGATACAATGAAAAAGTAATAAAAAACAAGTTAGGGCTTGATGTTTCCACCATGCGATATCTTTGAAACTAACCTTGAGGTTTATTAGGCACCATTAGTCTGATACCCAATACATTACAAAGACAGTGATCTGAAGTGCTTCAGACAAAACTGGATGATATTTTACAGATACATGTTCTGTAGAATTCAGTATAAGTGGGCAAACACAAGTTTTTTTTCCAGTTTTAAAGTCAGCAAGTTTCTAAAATTATCCCCAAAGCACGGAACAAACTAAGTCTGATGTAGTGAGAGTGAATATGGTTTTACTCCACTTTTAGCAAAACTACAGCAATATCATGATGGTGTACACTAGAAATTGACTTCAGACATTGTACCCATGTATGGAATTAAACATAGGCAAGTCTGGGCCAGACAAACCAGTGATATTATGAACAGCTGTTGCTTGGGTACCCGGTGGGATAAGTCATGTGTCTATTAACCTTCTAGCGCTTCACAGGCAGCTTGGGTTATCCGGGGTAATAATAATCAGATTGCTTGTGCGGTTTGAGCTTGCTTAGGCATGGATATATGCGGGGTACAAATATGTTATTATTATTATCATCATGTCGCACAATCAACCAATCACCATGCCTGGACACTTGATTCATTTAATATGCATGTAACACTGAGGACTGGAGTGCCTGGGATCTATTCTGAACCCAAACCCCTATATGGTGGCAAGGTGAAAAGGGTACATATATTGAATACTGTAGTAACGGAGATTAGTTATTTAACGAGGGGGCATTAATTTCATTTAATATGGTATCAGACTTTGATCCTTGTCTCATCAATACACATGTGAACTCAAGCAATGTTCCCATTGTAACAAATATCATAAGCTACAACTCAAACCCACATTTGACACCACTTAGGCAAAGGTTATAAAGTTATAAATGATATATAAGTGTTTCGACCTGTGATTTCATAAAACACAGTTCACCGGAAGGTGGGACAGGGAAATAGCTGAATTTTAATGAGATGCAGGAAACTGGAGTACTGTTTATCAACAATGAACCCTGCTGAGTTCAACTCCAGAAGTATTGGATGCACCGTTTACATATTTATCATGCTCAACATTTCTTCCACTGCCACTGTCTGTCATCAATATTTCAGATTATACAACACACTCAAGTGTGGATATGATCATGACGATCCTGTGAATCATGTCATGAACAACATTCAATACTATCATATAACCGCCACCTAGCTGGAATATTGCCGAGTGCGTTGTTAAACAACAAACCAAACTATCAGGGTAGGATACTCTCTAACTCTGTTCCGTCCCTGCACACATCACACTGTGCCACTTTGGCCAATATTTAATATAAACTCGAAAAACTGCTGAATATTGTGCAGAAGTGAGTGAGTGAGTTTAGTTTTACGCCACTATTAGCCATATTCCAGCAATATTACGACGGGGAACACCAGAAATGGGTTTCACACATTGTTCCCACAACCTGTTTTACAACATCCGCAGCTCTTCAACAGTGCACAATGTTGCAACAGAAATGAGCAGTTTATTGTTCCAGATCGTCTCACCTTGTCTGCCTATGCAAGGGCTGACTTGCTATAACAGATTCAAATCCTCTTCCAAGGACAATAAAGCCGGTAGGGTAGCCTAGTGGTAAAGTGTTAGCTCATCATGCCGAAGACCCGGGTTCAATTCCCACATGGGTACAATGTGTGAAGCCCCCTTCTGGTGTCCCCCGTCATGATATTGCTGGAAAATTGCTAAAAGCGGTGTAAAACCATACTTACTCACTCACTCCAAGGACAATACAGGGTGACATCATGTGGATCAGCTAAACATATAGAGCATGTACAGGCATTTTGCCAAGTCGAGAAACAATGTGCCCTGTGTTATAGGTAGCTTTTAGTGCCATTTCAAAATGGCAATACACTATGCTTGCATTATTAATTATTTCAAAAAGTACTTTGAGACAGCTTTGATCAAGATGTTGTGCTTTTGATGGATGCAAAAGAAATTTCACTGTGAGATATATGGAGGATACTAAACGACCTTCCAATAATACCATTTTTATTAAACGAGTTAATGCTTTGGTATCAAACGAGTGAAAGCGAAGTTTGATACTAAGTCTTTAACGAGTTTAATAAAAATTGTATTTCACGGAAGCGAGTTTAGTATTCTGTTTATTACTCTCCAACATAAATTGATAGAAACTGCGGCGAAATTGCCTACAGTGTGATGACTCTCAGCTTTCCGTGAGTCAAGCAAGGTCTAAGTGAGGTGAGGTGAAATTGGGTTTAACGTCGTGCTTGAGAATATTTCGCTCATATGACGACGTGCAGGCGTTTGTATATGTATGTGTGGCTGCTTGTACTAGCCCAGACTGAAGCTGGTTTTATAGTGCCAGCTCACTGAGATACCATGCCGCAGTGAAGCATGAATACCCCACTCAGACACATTATACTGACTCCGAGCCGACCAGTCCTTGTTGTACCCATTAATGCCGAACGCCAGACAGGCCGACCAACAAGTACCATATTTTAAAGTCTTTTGGTATGACGCGATCGGGGATCGAACCTGCGACCTTCCGCTCTCTGGGCGGACGCTCTAACCACTACACCAAGGAGGCGGTCAGCAAGGTCTAGTACCATTGCGACAGCGGCATTAGCATTGTGACGTCATAACTGTGAACCATTATGACGTCATACGTCTAGCGGTATTACACTAGTGTAATATTGCCGTAAAAATATTACACTGCAGTATCTTCCACGGGTGAGTAATAAAAGGTCATGTGTAGCATCAGGTGTTCCAGCCTTATAGTTTGATGTGAAGGCTATCTCTGGTGCTGTCCTTCAGGTGAGAAACAATGACTTTGTGTTAATGGTACCCAAACAAGCAATGAGAACAGCAAGCTAATTGTGTTGCATACAAAACCAAAAACTGTAACATATTTAGAAAATATTTGATAGACACTTTAGGTTTACCTTTCTTATCACAGCGTTCCCCTTCATATTCAGTCCCAAAACAGTCACATCGCGTGCTGGTGTACAGATTGACACATGTTCCGCCATTCAGGCACTGGTTATCTCCCTTGCACAGGTCACTGCATCCCTCGGTGGCGCTATTGGACTCATCCACCGGGATGGCTATAAGAATATCATCCTCACGGGTGTACTGTATGTCCGATAAACAGCCAACAAAGTAGAAAAACTCACTGTCAGACTGTTCCTCAGTTCCTGAAATAAACAAGGAACATGAGTGAAGAATACGTCACTTATGTTTGTAAGATCCACCTGAAATTAGAACTGGGTGGTCACACTGTATGCTCTGCTGCTGTGTGGGGGAAAGTCACTGGTTTGCTGGTCCAGATTCAAATACTTATAGCCGACCATTTCACGACATCTTGACTATCGCTTATTCTCTGAATATATATAATTTTGATAGTAACAAACAAACACAATCAAATTGAAAATAGCCCCAGTGAGATGGTAGATTCAGAACCTGAGGAAATCTAGACTTGCTTCATTTAGGGCTTTAGCATTGCAGAGAGGGCTAAGCTGTAGCGAAAATAGTGTGGTTCAGGGACTGTGAGACAGACTACTTGACATCCTGCAGATCACTGTTTAAAACATTCATTCAACCCATCCCATCCCAGGCCTAATGGAAAGTAATTGATATGAAGAGTTATGATATTGTCATATGGTATTGATAAGTGAAGGCTTACAACACAGAAATTCGTAAAGTTCTTCTTACACACTCCAGTCATTGACATGATCATCAATTTAAGTAATTTCAGTCCAAATACATGCAGCGATGAAGTCAGCAAACATGAGCACCACTTTCCAATAGTCCCCAATAAGTATGGTCAACATATGAAATTTCACATAACTTACACAAATACACACATACAAATAAATAAAAACAGACATATAAAACAACACATGAAGAACCCACAAACTACATACATACCACATTTCATTACATTTTGAAAGGAACTCTCCATAAGTTTCAGCTTGCAGTACAGTATAAGTGCAATGGTCAAATGAAGTTCAAAATATATCATACATAAATACCTAATGAGCTCCACTTCTAAATTCACATGTACCAAATTTCAGTCCATTTAAAATGTGATGTCTGTGTTATGGCCATGAAGAAGTCTTTTCGGAAACAACAAACTTGGAATTTTGAACCTCAAGAGTAAGTGAGTATGGTTTTACGCCACTTTTAGCAATATTCCAGCAATATCATGGCGGGTACACCAGAAATGGGCTTCACACATTGTACCCATGTAGGGAATCGAACCCAGGTCTTCGGCGTGATGAGCAAGCGTTCTTTAACATGTAATGTTTCAGCCTTGGTGCAAACGCTTTAACCGCCCTTGAACAGTAAGAACAAATTATGTTCATTATTGATTGGTAAAACATGTAATGTTTCAGCTTCATTGGTGCATTGAGGGCATGAACACCCAAACACAAACAAAAGGTGTGACAATCTCTCATACTTCATAAACCACATTCCATATCTTCTACAAAGCTTCTTGCTACATATCATGGCAAAGAATCACAAACAAGGTGTCGGCAGCCATACTATATCCCCATCTCTCTATATCGCCAACTCTGTTTCTACACCTCATTGAAACCGAGAATCAATGGCAGAACTTCAAACAGACAAAATAAACACAAAACAACAGTTTTTATGTTTCGGTGTCACAACAGTCAAAGCAAATCATCCTCAGCCATGGACCTTGTGAAGAACAGGATGTTCGTTTCATGGCTCATGCAACTGACAACTTTCGCAACATGTACATCTCAATTCCTTCTTTTTCAACTTCGTAGAACAGGTTTTGGCAAGCTATAACGGCTTGTTATGGAACAGTTTTCTCATTATAGTGGTTGTTGAATGATCAATGGTTGAATAGAAACATGCTTCCCCTCCTTCCCTCCCTGTCAACAATACTCCAGCAAAATCATTGCAGCCTGTAAATACACCATTTGGTGTAAAGTACCGGTACTGTATTTCTTCTAATAAGCGCCCGGGTGCTTATTTTTTCAACGGACCTCCAGACCCGGCGCTTATTTGAGCAGCTGCGTTTTTGAGCTTATTGTGTGTAACTAAAGTAATTGTTAGTGAGATGCTTTACCCCTGGCACTTTTTAGAGGCCCGGCACTTATTAGAGGAAATACGGTAATTCTGTAAACTCAAAAGGAAGACATCTTTCTGTGTCATTATGTTATTATTTTGGACTCCACAGATATAAACAAAGTGAATCTCTAAAACAGTTGTGTTACCTCCATATGTGATCTCTGAATCTAATTCCGACCACTTCAGTAGATCTTTCGCCCCGCCTCTCTGGAATGCTTCGAGGATTTTTGCTTGCTTCTTGTTATCCAAGGTCACAGTTATCTCCCCTGACCGGGTATCCAAAAATATTTCAAGCTGGTGCCATTTGTCATTGTTGAGAGCTGGAAAGAAGAGAGAATGATTAACATCATTTTGAAATGATAATATCCACGTGAGTAATAGAATGGTGAATATGGTCTTTTCCAACCAATATTCCATCCATTTCAAGGCAGGTACACTTAAAGTGAGCATGACAAATTATATTTATGTTCCAAAACATATTACAAAATTGGTGTCATGAGCTATTGGTTTGACCATTAGGTTACCCTGTTGTTAATAATAATATGAGTGAGTGACTAATGGTGAGTGACACAACAATGCAGGGCTCGATTTCGTGCTTTGTTACTTGCACTGTGCAACCCAATAGTACAAAGTGCAACGTAGTTATTAGTCTAACAATTTTTAAGTGGGTAAACTTCTGAATAAAACATCTAAATAATTCAATAGCATATTTCTTTCATTACATATTGCAATAAAAGCACTGCAACTGGAATTTGGCTGGTGCAACTAGGTTTTTATCTTAGGTTGCACCTGGTGCAAGGAGGTTAACATCTCTTAAATGGAGCCCTGCAATGGGCAACTCCACATGTTGAGTTCCTAAGTGAGGAAGTGAGCCCAGGTCTGGAATGACAAGATGATGGTTTAACTGCGAGGTTACCGTGTCCCCTGTATTTATCTAATGATGTATGATGGTGATTAAGTACAGGTCAAAAGACATCTATAGAGTGGCCTGTTTATCATGGGAGGACAACCTGAAGCAAGTGGTAAGACTGAATGAGCCTGAAAAAGAAATATCACCAGTCCTTACACCAAAATCAGAAGTAAATATCTTACATTCTGAACATCAATGAACACCGAGTAATAGTGACAGATTACAGCAGTGTCACAGTTAGTTGTACAGACAGTAGTATCAGAGTGAGTGCCAGTTGGGTGTAACACCACTTTGAACAGCATCCAGTTTTGTTTCATTGGTAGTCAGCTTGATGTGGAAGAAAGCCCAAAGTCGTACGCATCTCACACATTTACTATAACACACAAGAAGTAAGGTGCTGACACATGAAAAAAACTGGGTACGCAAATATACTACTCCAAATAAGTTTAGGAACACTGGAATCTTTCATATTATCATTGTTAAACTGTTATGCCATGATAGATGAAGTACAGTGGAAACCGCCTAAGTAAAGACCGCTTAACTAAACAGACCTGATAAGTAAACACTTTTTCTTTGGTCCCGGCAAATTTCTTCATTAATTATTACTATTAGAGTCTGGTTAACTAAACTCGGATAAGTAAACAATACCGCTTAACTAAACGTCTTCTCACGGTCCCTGGAAGTAAATTACTTAACAAAAGAGACTGGATAACTAAATTAGCGACCACCACATAATCCGACATGAGGGGCAGCCGTGTCAGTCTCCAGTCAAACAAACATCCTACTTACAGCTCGCTGGCGTCAAGCAGTTGACAATACACTGACAACTGGAGGCCAGCCCTGATAAGTTGTTCATTGTTACATATGCATACATATACATGCATATGGTTGTCATTTGCAGGTTTTTATAAGTTTGGATAAGTAAAATACCTGATAAGTAAACAATTTTGGCGAGTCCCATGAAATTTTACTTATCAGGTTTCCACTGTATACTGCTATGAGATAATTGGATGTCCTTATCTTCTCTTGAGTAGTATATGTTGACCCTAACTTAACAGACCTCATCAGTAGAAACTGTACACAACAATAAAAACATTTCAGTACAGATTAGTAACTGGAAACAAAATCAAATCGCTTGGTTAGCCAATCAATTACTGAAGTATAAAATGCAGTATGTTAAAATAACCGTACACATTTTTATAATGAGTGGTGCACCAAGTGGTACCACAGCATGACATATCGCAATACGTCTATCTTCAGCAAAAAGTTGAATATAATGAAGTCTGTGTCCACCCATTCAACCCCCAACAAATTATCTGCCTTATCATATGTACTTATATATCAATCATTTCACACCAGAGTTAGCACTGAAAGTGTAATATTGAATCGAACAGACAATCTCAAATTCCATAACCGCCCTCGCTAAAGACATTCCTTCGCAGCACATCATACTGTGATCCTATGTGTGTTCCAGTAACAAGCTAGACCCCCCCAATCACCCCCTAGGGAGATATATCACCACAGTGTCAGCAGCAGTAATGTGGTACTGCTAGCAAAATTGCCTCCATTGTGAATCTTCACTGGTCACAGCTGACAGACTGACACAGTCAACAGGATTTGAAGTCCCACTACATATTGAAGCCTTTTTGTGCCTATATAGTTACTATAAGGATAAGAAGTTCATTAGACTTTTCACCTACTTTAAATACCCAGTTAAAAAACTCGGGTGTTTGTATAAACTGAAGGTTGGTCCTGATCCCAATTAGTATTATCTATTGATCTCAAAGCTTTGGTAGCCTTGCTCCAAGGCTGTCCTGAATGCTAATCCCATGGATGAATAGTAATTCTATCCATTAAAGAGGCAAGTCTAGATAGGCGGACAGCATAGCAGTCTGTTATTATATTTTTTTTAGAAATTATTATTTAAAAAATAAATTATTATCCTGGAGACTTGTGAACGTTTAAGCTTTTGGTAGAGAAATTACTTACAATGAGTAAAACCAAATCTTGCAGAGTTGTGAGTGAGTGAGAGCTATACATCAAAATACTAATTTCTAGGGTCCTTACAGGAGTGAGTGCGCGAGTTTAGTTTTACGCTGCACTCAGCTATATGGCGGCGGTCTGTAAATAATCGAGTCTGGACCTGACAATGATCAACAGCATGAGCATCGATCTCCGCATTTGGGAACCAATGACATGTCTCAAGCCTGACCACCCGATCCCGTACGTCGTCTCTTACAACAAGCATAGTCGCCTTTTGTGGCAAGCCTGGGTTGCTGAAGACCTATTCTAACCTGGATCTTCACGGGGCGGTCTTGACAGGAAATATGAGGGTCCAATAAAGAAATCAAATGAGGTAGTGACTACTCTAAGATTAGATAATTAATTTACTAACAGGAGTGAACCATATAACTTTATGGATGACAACTTCTTGTTTATTGCATTGAGCGACATTTCAATTAAGATTCTTACACCTTTTCGGCTTGATAACGGTGTAAGAATCCATATTGAAACGTTTCTCAATGCAATGAACAAAAACTTGTCATCCATAAAATTGTGTGCTTCATTTTTGACACACAAACTTCTAGAATGCCGATCAAGCAATTTAATAACAGGAACTTACTATATATTCCTTTTGAAGAATTTTGTACTAAGAGTATCACTGTGCCTCTCTCAGGATGAAATGATAGTATTTTTCTGTGTCCATCTTTATGTTTGTGCCTAGGTGCATTCTCTGCTGTATGATCTGCCTGATTAGAACTAGCAGTCCTGATCTGTCTTGTAACAATACACATGAACTTGACTGTGTTTTTGTAGCTTTGATGTTTTTAGTATAATGTACATGATCTTGGCTATGGTTTAGTGTCAACAATACTAAAACATAGGAACACCATCAAAAGTGTGTTGAAACTGAAGCCATTAGCCCAATCCCAATATTTACATTGCAGTTGCAGCTAAACAAACTCCTGGATGAAGCAGACGTGGACAAAACTGTTACTGACTAAGAAAATTAATGTCTGGTAAATGCTCACCTATTTTTTCTCCATGTTTTCTCTGATAATCGTAAACAATGTCCATGGTTATATCTTGAAAACAGCAGTAGTAAATATGCCATGGGATAGTAAACAGAAAGTGTTACAGGAAGAACACTTCAGCAAACAAACTGTGAAATGATGGCTGACTCCTTACAAGAGTTCTTGTAAATCACAAACCAGGAGAATACCATGATAGTGTTATGACAACTAGAATAAAAGACAATATTGTTTTGAAATCCTTTCCAGTCAAAACCTACTCTGTTGCTGACAATGTATGTGCTTATTTGTTTTTAATGAGTGAGTTTCTCAGCTGGTTTGAATTCCAAACCAACAAACATTTCATACCACCATGATCATTGTAAGCTTGTGCCTGCCTGTACGGAAACAAAATGAAATGGAAAACACATATTTGGGGACTCATTTTATGATATTGTATGGATAGTCTTTCTACAAAAACTATTCTCCAAAATATTCATGGTCACTAAATTATATAGCTCAGTGTTTTCTGGATGTGTATTACTTGTAGGTCAAGAGTTAAACGTAGGTAAACATAACTGGTCTGATACAACTAGTTTACAGCTTAGTTTGGACCTGACTGACTGACTGACTGAGTTTAGTTTTACGCCGCTTTTAGCAATATTCCAGCAATATCACGGCGGGGGACACCAGAATGTTTGGACCTGAGCTTTAGGTAAAATATTTACATTTGGAAGATAACTTTCTCAAGATTTCCACAATAGTCAATCACACAAGGTAAACAGACAGGGGTGGAAATAACTTTAAAATTGCTTGTGTACTCGGTACAGTGGCACATGTAAAATCACTTGCCCTGATAATGTTTCCACTATACCAGCCGTTTTCTTGTTGATTTTTTAAATAAACAACATAATTAACATTGGAAAGGCAACTGGACACCGGTACAGTGTGATATACAAATTTGCTTGCCCAACAGAAAAAACCATTGGACTCGGACGTCGGGCAGTGGGTTATTTCCACCCCTGACAGAGGCAAACTTCAACAACTCATAAAACCGAACATGTGTATGTGTAGATTCTGCTGCATACACAGAGTGTTCTGTAAATACAGAAGCTATCTTCCTCTATTAATCATAAAACGATGACTACAACATATCCTATTCCACAAGCTCTGCACATGATGTTCTAGTCAGATGTGTTATCCAAGGCCAGATAGTGTATTTCAGTGCTCCTATGTAAACTAGATAGGGTAATTCCATTACAGCAATCAGAAATGCCATCATAATCACCCACATATTCACTGTGAAGACTTACGTGTCTATAACGTAAATATATTTCATCTGAAAATATATATCCAAACAAAGAGACAAGACGTTTGATGCCGCAATCAGGAAAATTTC